AAAACCTTGATGAAGTCCTAGACCATATTCTTGGCCGGGATTCTCTTCCTTTCGCTCGCGCTGCTTTCACTGAGATTCGCCGTGAAGAGAGCTGGAGACTTGGCATGCTCGTCATTTCCACCCCTTCAACCAAATCGTTCGCTTTGATCTCTAATAGTGCTTGACCCTCTTCCATTCCACCTCGGGCAAGTTACCCCACTTGTGATTACTGTCACAAACCAAACCACACTCGTGACAGTGTTGGAAGCTCCACAAAAAATCGACATACAAATCTTTGGTCAAATCCTCTACTGTCAAAGGTCTCACTAAAACACCAGATTTTACCACGATTCAACTAGCTCATACTCTGAACATTCCAAAATCCTCCAACTCTCTGAAAAGTGAGATAGAACACTTAATCAAGCTACTTGGATCCAATCAATTCTCCGTTGTTCCATCGACAACACACGCTGCAAGGTATCTTTTCCTTTGGCATTCACATCTTTTACGTTCTCTAATCTGCGGATCATTATGGGCCACATGATTGGACGCTTGCAAATTTTCTTGACATACTATCTATGTTTTGGAAAGATATGGTCATAATTGCGGATGACTCCCATAGTTTCATTGTTGGTAAAGGGTATGTTGTTTTAGCGATCATTCTAACTCTAGAATCTGTGTAATATGTATCGTTGTTGAATTGTAACATTTTAGCTGTCAGTAAGCTGACATATGACATTGATTTTATTGCTCATTTCTCTTTTGATGTTTGTCTTTCAAGATTAGCGTTCGAGGAGGATAATTGGAATTGCTAAACATTCAATCGAATTCTACTACTTTCAAGAAAAAGCACGGAGAATGAGACCATACCACTTAGTAGTTGTAGTTTATCCCGAGTCACTGAATGTCTCATTATGTTGTTGCATTGTTGTTTGGGTCATTCTAGTTTCGAATATTTAAAACATTTGTATCTATTGATGTTTTCTAATAAGTTTTCTAGTTTCATTGTGAAACGTGTTAGTTAGCTAAACATTATTGGGTTCATTATCCACCCCACACTTACACATATTTCGCTTATTTTTCACTCATTCACATTAACGATAATGACCCTCTCGCACTACCAGCTATGCCAATAAACGGTGGTTCCTTACGTTGATTGATGACCACACTTGGGTGATGTGAGTCTATATTTTAAAAGTCAAATTGGAAGTTGTCAACTTCCAAAAATTCTACACTTTTATTTTGACTCGATTCAAAACTCCAATTCAGGTCATTCAAACTGACAATGACCATGAGTTTTTTCAACTCTATTTTAAGCGAATTCTTGGTAAGGACATACTCTACTATAGCTCGTGTACAAAAATTCAACAAAATGGATTACCCAAGAGGAAAAACCAACATCTCCTCGGCGTTGCTAGCTCCATTATGTTTCAATGTAATATCCTGAATCATTTCTGGAATGATGTTATGTTGACTGCCACCTATCTCATAAATAATCCCCTCTAAAATTCACAACTTTTGAACACCCTTAACCGTCTTGATGTCATACTTTTCTTCCAATCGAGTTTTTTCCATTTTAGATCATAAAATATCTGGGTGTACAACTTTTGTTCGGAACACTGCCCCCACTCGAAGTAAAATTGATCTCGATCTATAAAATGTGTCTAAGGTACTCCGCTACTCAAAAAGAGTACGAGTGTCTTGATCCTATCACAAACAAAATTTATGTGAGTGTTAACGTCTCGTTTTTTTTTTGAAAATATTCCCTATTTCCTAACTCGACTTAAAAGTGAGGGGAAGCTAGAGTTCTTGGACATTATTCCTTATCGTATTCCTATGGATGTTCCTCCCATTATCCTGCCATCGAGGAAGCCCTGGTTCCTGTTGTTCCACCACCTCTTCCTCCCATTCTCTATGTCTACACTCCACACACTCGCCTCGATGGCCCCATTCTGGAGCCCGCTACCTCCTTGCAAGATGCAGGACCTTGAATCCACTCCCCGTGACATTCCCAACACCACTATCCAAATGAGAAAGTGAGTTCCCCGAGTAAGGGACACAATCAAACATGCTCTCTATTTCATGGTAAAATGACTTTTTTTGCTGTTTATCACCGACCTACAGAGCATTTGTTACTGCCCTGATAGATCATCAGATCCCAACTACTATTGAGGCTGCACTAGCTGATCTTGCCTGAAAAACTACAGTAATAGATAAGATGAGTGCCCTTTGGCGGAACCATATATGAGATATCTTAGATATTTTTTGGGGTGAGAAAATAGTGGCATGCAGATGGATTCTCAGCATCAAATTCTACTCAGATGTATCCTTTAAACTCAACAAGGCACGACTGGTTGCCAAAGGATACTGATAGAATTATGGAGTTGACTATGAGGAAACATTTGCTACAGTGGCCAGATTAAACATCATTTGGGTTCTGCTATCTCTTTTGATGAATCTGCATTGACCCTTATTCCAAGTCAATGTTAAGAATGTGTTTCTGAATGAAGATCTTACAGAGGAGGTGTACATGTCTCTTCCTCTTGACTTCAACTTTACTGCCTCTCAAGGGTAAATGTGCTGACTGCAAAAGTCTCTCTATGGACTAAAATAATCCTCATGAGTTTGGTTTGACAAGTTCAGCAAGGTAGTAGTAACCTGTGGTTTTACTCAAGCTCAATCAAATCACATTCTCTTCTTCCGACGTTCATTCAATGGCCATATTGCTATTCTTATCATCTATGTCGACGATATTGTGGTCACAGGAAATGATCTACCTGCATTGGAGTTTTTGAAAGACATTCTTGCTGCGTCCTTTGAGATGCAGGACTTAGGATTCCTCCGATATCTCTTAGGGACGAAAGTTGCTCGGTCATCTCGGGACATTTGACTGTCTTAGCGCAAATATGTGATTGACATGTTAAAAAAAGAGCAGTATGCTTTTGTACAAACCGTTGGCTGTCATAATGGATCCCAAATGAAAAATTATATCAAGACTTACTACCAGCGCCATGGGAAAACTCATTTACCTCGCCCATACACACCCCAACATATGTCATGCGGTTGGTATAGTAAGTCAATTTCTACATGACCCCTATGAGCACCATCTCCATGCTGTCCATCAAATTCTCTACTTTTTAAAAGAAACTAGGCTCATGTTTGTCGCGTCAAACCTCGTTCTATTGCTGTTTATATAGATGCTAGTTGGATCAGACCAGTCCATGATTGATGTTCTACCTTCGAGTCTTGCTCATTGTGTGGGCAAATCTTGTCACGTGGAAAAGCAAAAAGCAACCAGTGGCTTTTTGGAGTAGTGCTGAAGCTGAATTCTGATCCATATCCCAGAGCATCCGAACTTTGTGTGCCAACTTCCATTCCTCTGCAGTTTTTCTGTGATAACAAGTCTTCCATTAGCATTGCCGACAACCGGTCCAACATAATCGCACCAAACACGTGGAGATCGACAAACACTTTATAAAGGAAAAACTTGAATCCGAGGAAATTTCTATTCTTTTTGTGTCCTTCAGTGACCAACTAGCAGATATTCTCACAAAGAATCTTCTTTGGCCACTGTTTGATGACTTCAAATCCAAGTTGAACATTATTAACATCTATGGTTCAACTTGAGGGGGAGTATTAAAATATTAGAATAATAACGACTATCCTTAGCTGTTATTGATATGCAAATTCTTGTATTATTTGCTTTCCTATTTTCCTATTTTCTGTTTTTGTTTATTTTCTTATGAGTGTCTCTTGTGATATGGTTTATATGCCACTCTTTCTATCAATAAGATATGGTGCTCTACTCCAATATTTCAACATGTTTAGGTTAGAATGAAAAGAAAAATTAAAAGGCACATATTCGTAAAATTTTTTGGTAAAAACCAAAATGAGGACAAATTTGTAGTGGAGCATATAATTATTCCTATATAGGGGACTTACATACATAATACAATCTCTTGTATATTTACATATCTAACACCTAAACATTCTTTTTTACGTGCATACCACTCTAATGTTTAACATCACAGCAAAAATAACACCAGCATTATCTTTTTCAAAGTGAAATACACCTTTGCATGCATGGGTTTATGACACCAATGTCTTATAAGTGTAAATATCGAACTGTGGGTGCTAGATATGTAAATATATATGATTTTTTTTGGGTTATGTACGTAAATTTCCCTAAATTTTATAGTAGGGAGTTGACACTTAAAACTGATTTTAGATTCCAAATTAACTTCACGGTCAGAGTTGAGCTTATCGAAATTCAATTAACAGATAATAAAAAATATTCAAGAAAGGTAATAGTGGAAGGCATGGGCAATAGTTCCTTTCTTGAAACAGTGTCAATTCTCAGTGATCGATTCCAATAAAGGGCTATAGATTTATCGTTGCAGTTTTTGTGAGAAATGGGATAGTTCGAGTTATGCTGCAACATGGCCATAAAACTCAATATAGACGGTCAGAACAACAAATTTCTCTTGAACTTTCAATCTTCTCTCCATGAGAACCGGACCTCTTGTTGAGAAGGAACATATTCAAATCCATACAAGCTGTTTCTCAAGTTTAAAGTCGGTATCTACAGCTTCTCATTCCCTGTTCTCTTTGGATCTTATAGATCATTGAATCTCAGTTACTACGTCTCCTTTTCTGTTAGTTCTTATTACTACTAAAAAAGTTGCCATTGCAAAAATGTGCGTACATCATTCCAGGATGTTTGTGTATAAAAATGTACACACTGCCTGTTTTTTTTATTACATGTGTATGGTCGCCAAAGGTGGATCATGTTTGTTTGAAATACTATGACTCTTTGCTTGAATGAAAAGGTGTATTTGCACATAGTTCCAAACCAGGCATTCAATTTTTCTGTTGTACCTGTATTTTTTACTTCATAGTCTGACAATATTATAGCAAGTCATTTTGGGTCATTGTTACTCCACTGTCTTCTAGTCAGAAATATATTGAGTGGATACAATACATGAAAAAAAAAAAAATAATAAACCGGTTTGGCCGCACAGGTGGACGCGGTGGTGTACCTGGTGGACGCGTTCGACAAGGAGCGATTCGCGGAGTCAAAAAAGGAGCTGGATGCCCTGTTGTCTGATGATTCCCTGACCAACGTTCCATTCCTGATACTGGGAAACAAGATTGACATACCCTACGCAGCATCAGAGGAGGAGCTGCGATACTACCTGGGCCTCACCAACTTCACTACGGGCAAGGGAAAGGTGAGCCTCTCTGAATCCAACCTACGCCCTCTTGAAGTCTTCATGTGCAGCATTGTGCGCAAGATGGGCTATGGCGATGGCTTCAAGTGGCTTTCACAGTACATCAAGTAAATTCTAAATATTTCTATATTTATATTTAGTGCTTCGCTGCAACGACAATCTTTTATTTTTTTCAGAGTTGTGTTTGATTTTGATTCCTTGTGTAGAAATGCGTTATATCTACTTGGGACTATAATGGGAAACAGTTTTAAAGCTTGATGTAATTTGCAACAATATTTTGGGAGAAATTTTCGTTTGGGATATTTGGTCACAATGAGCGTCAGTTAGAATCGCCATTTTTGCTTTGGGATTATGACAACAAATCTTATGATCCACGTAACGGAGATCACCGTGGAGGGGCCTCCATGGTATAACAAGTGAAATTGAACAGAAACTCCAATCTTTTAATCAAGTAGCGCTGCCTCCATGCTTTTGGCAAGCCCCCTTATTTCTCATGCTTATTTTACTTAGTTTTTTATATTCATATTTTTATTATTAATTAAAATATTTTTCATAATTTATACAACTATTTCTTTTATTTTTATTAAATATTATAAAAAAATAGGTGATGATGGCCTGTTGCGGCAGTGAACCCTCTTAAAGACTTCCAAACTTTGGACAACCTTTCTGAAAAGGCTTAATTTTTATTCTGCTTAGTGATAATATTTAAAGAAGGAATAATTTAGTTTGGAACTAATTGATCGGACTTTTAGGCCTGATTGAGCACAAAAACCTTATGACTTTGGTTAATTTGAAATAGTAACAGCATCATAGTTGGGTAGAGCCACCATAGCACATGAAAAATATCATTTTAAAATTATTAATTTGTATAGAGCCAACATAGCTTTGATTAGGCTAACCAAGCCATCAACAATTGGGTTGTATAAAAATATTGACATTACTATTTAATAAGATTTGACAATACACTCCAACAATAAATGATAATGTGTCCCATAATGAATCATACCAAATGGTTTATTATAATTATTATAATTACCAATTTAAGGGGAATGACCATGACTCCGTCCAAGTAGTTGGCTTAAGCATTCACATTTTCTTAACTTATTTTTTAGAACTGACATCAATGCAGATGTATGAAATGCTAAATTTAACACAATTTAGTAATCAGAAATCACATTTGGCTGAAAGTCATATAAAACTTGGGGGTTATATATATAAATATTTAATTGTTATATACTTCTAACACATCCGTATAAATGCTGAATATTTTGCAAAGTTAAAAGAAACAAAAAAGAATTGCACAGATCAAAGACATGCACAAATATCTTTACATAAAATCTGCAGTGTTATAAAGCCATGAGAAGTACTGCAAAAACAAACAAACATTATGTTTCACTACACTTTCTTCTCCTCTTTCAGGATCCTTTTTCTCTTTTCTGATGTAACAACAAAAATAAATAAATAAATAAATTAATTAATAAACAAATATTACCAGCTTTTGACCAATAAAAAATCATGCGCCAATAAGGACACAAACAATCTGAAAATTGCTGCTAAAAGCTATATGGTGCAAGTTTCATTACCAAAAAAGCCAATACAGCAACAAAATAAACCTCTTATTTTGCACTGCTCTTGATGCCACTCCTTTTCCCATCACCGGAAACCGGCTGCCTCATAGTCCGGCTGGCCATCTTGGTTGCCCCATTCAACACTTTTCTTGAGGGAGAAGGAATATTTCCATGGCTCGAGTTCCTGATTAATTTGAGCAGAAGAAGATAAATTCAGTATCTAAAGCTTCTGCACAGAATCAAGCTCATAGAAAATGGCTGCATTAAGTAGAAGTTTGCATGGAAACATTCTACTAGTTTGGTTTTGACTGCAGCCTACATACATACCACACAATTCTCATTTATTTACATATCTAACGCATAAACATTCTTATTTACATGCCTACCGCTCAAATTTCAGCATCACATCAAAAAATATCACCATCACCACAATTTTAACAGTAAACTACACCTTTTCATGCATAGGTTTATGACACCAAGGTGTTATAAGTGTAAATATCAAACATTGGGTGTTAATTGGATTGGGTGTTAGATATGTAAAGCCATAAGAATTATGTGGAATATATGTAAATTTCCAAAAGTAAAAAAAAAAGCATAAATTTGCTATAAAATGGAATAGTTTTCGGTTGTTTAGCCAGCAAGCTAAGAGCAAATGATTTTACCTTCCATCCATGCTTTTTGTACCCTTAGTTTGAGGCCTCTTAAGTTTGGACAAACCCACTTCAGCCATCCCAGGAATCTTTGAAACACTCAAACGACTCCGCAATTCTACCTCTGATGAATCACTTGCAGAATTTTCAAAATCCTCCAAATCGGGGTAAAATCGGTTCTGCTGCAATTCATGGCTCCCTCCTTTCTTCCCAGCAGCACTGCTGCTCGCGTGCTGCTCAGGAAAGACTCTCATTTCATTTAAGTATCTTTGGAACAGCATTTGCTCTTGCATCGTGTCATCTTCTTTGGAAGGAGTTCTGCTCCTGTTGTTCACTACCACTTTGTCAACCCACTCTCCAGAACCTGTCTTCATGTCTTCTTCACCTAGCCCTGGAGAGCTATTTGACCAGGGAGATTCCATGGAGACTTGTGGTTCTTCAGGTTTCTTCTGTCTTATTGAATTACTTCTAACCTGTGAAAAAACAAAAACAATATACATCTAATAGAATTACTAATTTCAAACTCGCTGGTTAATTGAAAAGTTAAGTTCAACATATCAGGCTAATACACACAAAAAAAAGTTAAAATTATTCGGAAAATCATAGGAAAAGACTGAAGACCAACAATATATAGGACCTGGATCATGCTTAATTAAAAGGTTTGAATAACCTGATGAGTATCATGAATTTGTTTAGCTTTCCTCATTCATACTTGATAGTTTGTTTAAAACATTCACTAAAATAGGTGCAGTCAGTCAGGTTTTACTTGTTCGCTAGTCTCCCAAGAAACAGAAGATTGTGCAAAAATCTTCAAAGATTACAATTACCTCAATGTCACGGGCTTCCTCCATTGACTGTCTGCTGCTGGTTGAATGGCCCATCTCATCTTCTTCATCATTTAACAACTCCAAAGAAGCCACATCGGTCTTCAATCTCAACAGTTCGGGAATGCACACTGTAGGCCTGAGAGGCACTCCTGCGCCCTTTCTAGCCAATTCCATTTTAAGAGCAGCTATCTGATAGACAATTATGAAAAGAGATGAATGTCAAAATGGTCCTCTGACGCTTTGCATGGGGTCATTTTAGTTCCGCAATCTATAAAAGTGTTAGTTTAGTTTACAAGCTCTTCTAATATGGGCTGATAGTTCCCATAGAAGACTATTTTAGTCCCTATTAAAATAATGTGGAGACTAATTTGACACTTTTATAGACTTTGGGACTAAAATAATCCCATGGAAATAGCAGGGGACCATTTTGACACTTGTTATGACAAACTAAAATCAGTAACTGCAATAAGAACATGGCATTCTTTATAAGACCGATAGAGGAAGCGAGAATGGAGAGTAGAGGGATGGGGGAAGACCTGCTCTTTAAGATCTTTAACTTCGCTATTGTCTTTATTTATTTTAGCAGCACCAAGCTCAACGGTGGCTACTCGCTCAGCAAATTTGAGTGTGCTTAGTGTCTCCCCAAGAGCATCAACCTCTGGACTTATGTGAACAAACATTAGAGTTTTTGCTTGTCCTCCTGCATATAGAAAATAGAAACAAGTTAAGCATATAATAAGCCAAAGTTTGTTTTCTATTTGATTCCTTCCAAACGGAATTAAATCTTACCAAGAGAATCTTGAAGCAGTTGTGTGAGTTTACTATTTCTGTATGGGACGTGAGCATTCTTCTGAGCAAGGGAGGCTATTACATCTCCTAAAGCTGAAAGGGACTTATTAATGTGCTGTGCCTCTTTCAATCTGTCTCCTTTAACCTGTGATTTATCGACCCTCTCGCTGCCTGCCAAATCGACAAGGTGCATGCACCCTCGAAGTGTATTACCAGATGTTAATTCTTTTCCTTGCACATGAATGCTCAAACAACTGCGAACATTTTAACAGCACTGAATCGTGAGCCATAGTTTTTCCATGGGAAGTTTATTTATGGCTGACAAAAATGAAAAGGACTAGTTGTGGGTTGATATAGTGCCGTGGGAGCACTTCCAAGTTTTGAGAATTTGGGAATGTAATAACTACAAGAGGAATAAGTATTGTTTGTTTATGAGAGCTTAAATGGAAAGAAGAAAAAATGAAGAATATTGTGAAGATTAAGAGTTAAAATTGTATAAAGCAGAACTCAAAAATAGAAATAGGATATAGACAAAAGCAAATAAAAGTTGAAAGATAAAATTGGTATATAAAGTTAGTGATAGCATGATTGCTATTATGATTCTTGTTTGTGAGAAATTTTTTAATGTGATTGACGAATATAACTTTAAAGGAAGATGATGTAAAATGACTATTTTATTCAATAGTACACAATAATATAACCATATATGTACCTATATATAGGCAGTCAAAAAGAACAATTTATAGAAAATATAATAAAGGACCATGTCCTCAACAATCAGAAAATGTTACAATAAGAAAAAGTGTATAATCCAATTATAAACAAGGACATTGATAAATCAGAACATGTAACTTTGCAATTTCAAGGTGATATAGAAGAGGCCAACTCATGTTGGGAAAACTTTTAGTAAAAAAAAAATGTTTTTCAGAGGTGAGGAGTGTCGCAACAGGAGTATGAATGATCCATGTAAGGAAAAATAGTGTGAATGTGATGATAAGTAATGAGATCCATATCAAAGAAGACATGCATGCGAGTATAAATATGAGTATTGACCAAAAGCATTGATGGAGGGCATTAACTGGCAGACTGTTGCCATAAAGAGAAGAAGATTGGCAAAATCACTCTTAGAGAATAAAGGTAGATTACAAATGAAAATTATGGGCATTTTTTTGTATTTAGTTTTAGAAAATATATTTTCTAACAAACGAAGTTGTTTTTAAAAGCACTTCAAGTAATTTTGAGTCATTTTGAACATTTTTAAAAATAATTATAACAATTAGAAGCCACCACAATATTGCTAATTGTCATCATCACCACCACAGTCGACCGCCACAACTATTATTTCCTTAGCCAATTTCCACCACTACACCATAGGCAATCACTGCTACTAGTACGTAAATCAACTTGGTATTCAATAAGAAAATAGCACATTGTTGAAATCCCAAACATCTTATGTTTCATGTCAAAACAAAAACAAAATAAAGTAGATGGATGTATGATAAAATTAAGAAGGATAAATTAAATAATGACTATATTAGAGGAAAAGTTGAAGTGTTACTGAAAAAATATAGTTTAATAAATGTTGACAGGGATATATATACTTCACAAAATGAGTCGATTGGACATGATGAGAGCAGCAAACAAAGAATGCGGTACAATGTGATCAAATTGGAATGCCCCGAGTATTTTTGAAATTCATTCCGAATAATACTCACTTGCGAAACGGGCCTCACGACTGCGTTCAAAACATCAAAATTAACCACGAGAAGTCTTTCATGTTGGAAAAGAGCAAGCATGATGATAAAAAGGATGCTTAATTCACACTGAAATCATCTCCATAATCTACAAGGTCATCAAAATGTTCTTTGATGATAAAACAAACCACAATAGCACGTTCCCAAGAAAAAGTATTATGTGATGGAAAGGGAAAGGACAAGGTAACACAGCCTTTACCGCTTCGCTCCTCTTCCAGCAAGCCCACGTAATCACCCGGCTCTCTAAAACCGAAATTTCCCTCCACTGTTCAGTCGCAACTCCTCCCCCATTCGCAAGGCAGGTCCTGCTCCGGCGAGCCGTGAAGCCACATCCAGCCAGCCTTCCCCCGTGCCTCCCTTCTCCTCTTGTTCTTTTTCGCCGGCGAGGTCTCCCTCCAGCAGCGACGCATCTCCTCTGCCTTACTTTTTCTCACTCAGCAGCTCTCCGCCCCCTCTCATCTCTCGTTACTCTCAACACACAGCAAACTACTCCCATCACCCTCCCTCCGGCGACATTTCCGACCACCATCCTCTCGTTTCAGAACAAGGTAAAATAAATAAATAAATAAATACTCTGTGGGATCGTCGATAGCATTTCATGAAGAGAATTCACCCATACAATAGAAGAGAATAGAAGAGAGACAGCAATCAACGCTATGGCTACTTTACGACCCCTACCATGCATCCTATATCATAAAATGCTATTGACGAAACAAACCTTTATCAAACATATCACCATCACCTAGTAAGTCTCTTGTGTCAGATTGAGAAATTATATGGCTCGAATCTTTAGTATACTCTTCTTTCTTACATGTGTTTACTATTTAGGCAAATCTCTGTGGGATTTTACAACTTAGCTATTTTTGACTTGGACGGAATATGAGGATTAAATTGTTGTTGGGCCTTAGTTTGCATTTGACATTTCAGTTGCTTCGCTTGAGGGAAAACTTAACCTCTGTATTTATGAGCTCTAATATTATCTTGTGTAGCATGTTTGATGAAGAACGTGCATATGTATGGGCCCATGAATGTTTTAATGGTGGTCATTCTAGTTGCTTAAGCAAAAGGGAAGGGGGGTGTGTATTGGACACTCATATAGGTCCAACTCGCCACCTCGCCAGACAGATGATATAACGCTCGTAACTCCTGAAATATCTATCATGACGTATTTGGCGCGTCAAGTGAAACCCTATACACGTTTTTCTTAAGATGGTGGGACAAAACTCGTACGCGGTGGACAATTCAAAAGGCTCCTGAAATGCTTTTTACGACTCATTTGACACATTGATGGGAGCCTTATACACGTTTTTCTTAATGTGGTGGGGTGAAGCCGCACGTAGCGTGAAAGAAAATTCAAATCAAGTACCCGTACATGTCTTTCTTGAAGCAACGGGGAAATATGTTGAAAGTGTCTGAGATTCATTAGAAAACAATTGTGTCGGACAAAACAACACTACAGGAATTTTGCAATTTTGTGTCGAACAAAGCTGACACAAAATCGATGCAAATCAGACGATAATTCGGTGGATTTGTCCAATTTGCATTGAAATAGACTCCAACGGTAAAAAAATGGGTCGATAATTCAATTTTCGTCGAATTTGAGTCAAAAAAGATCGACAATAAATTTTATGTCATACTTGTCTCTGAATTACGACGCAAAATAGTTTCACAAATTACCGTTAGATTTTGCATAAAAAATTATCAGACACAAATTTGCATTGGAAAAGTTGACACTAATCTGATGCAAACATGTAACTTAGAGAAAAATTTAAAAGAATTTTTTGATTTGTATAGCCTGCACACACATAAAAACAATATTAGTGATCACAACAATAACAAAATTATATCACAAAAGAATGCCAACAAAAAAAAAACATGATATAACAAATACTAATCTAAATTATCAAAAAATTTACATCGACATCTTCAATATAAGTTTAAATATTTAAGAAATTAAAAATATATAAACTTCTTCCTTTCATCTTTTCCATTCTCTCTTACTCATATATGAAATCCACAGAAATTCTATATCCAGACAAAATAAATTTAAGTTCGGATTCAATAATATCATTTGGACCTCTGCCTTTAATATTGAAGCAAACAACCATAGATACCTTAAAATCCTTGATGCAAAATATAAAAATACAGCTTGAACAACTATTTGCAGTCTTTCCAACATTATTCACTGCATCTAAGTGTATTAGATAACCATAGCTCACCAGTTACATTTGCTTAACTGAACACACAACACATTTTTTTCACATTGACACTAATTCCATATCAAGAAAGAAGGCATATTTGACTAGATTTTCGTGGCATCAAAAGCAAGATTAATAAAAATAAAATTGATAGGCCATCAACAAATTTTCATAAAGCGGTATGGATCTCGAGGCATATCACATATCTAGAGGCAACATTTTGATCAAGGAACATTCAAACTTCGATTAGAAGTTATTCAAAGCTTTGATTTCAACAAACTTATATTTAAACTAACCAGCTCAATGAGAAAGACTCAATGGTACCAAAAATGATCAAATTCAAGTTAAATCACGCTCAGATCAAGCCATTAAACCACTCTTAGAAGCTTTACGAACATATTTGGAAGGCCAAACAATGTCGAACTTTGTAAGCTTATAGTCGAATCGAGCGTCTCGATAAAAAGAATCCAACGAGCCCAAGATCACTCAATTCCGACATCATTAAGACATTCAAATGTCCTTCAAATGTCGTTTGATCAAGTGAATCTTTTTCGGTGATTTGATTAAAGTTATTTATATTCCAACATTAATTACACCAAATGCCATATTTAATTGGGTCAATTGGCATGCCTAACCTAGTTCAAACACAAGATTTGGTCATATGCACCTTTTTGGACTTATGGTCAAATCCAAACCAATTGAGTTTGGTATGGTCAAATGAGCCTTACCCTAACTCATCTTAGACTCTAGGGTTAAGTTTAAAGCCAACCACAAACCCATGGTTAAGCTTGATATTTATCTCATGGGTAAATTTTTTAAAAAAATTCTTAAATGGATAATAAAGAGGTTAAATCAAGGTACTTGCCATAACACATGTCCATACCCTATGGTGCCATTTTT